CTAGCAGCAGTCAGTTCGGCTCCAGCAGCTGTCAGCTCGGCTCTAGCAGCAGTCAGTTCGGCTCTAGCAGCAGTCAGTTCGGCTCTAGTAACTGTCAGTTCGGTTCTAGCAGCAGTCAGTTCAGGTCTGGCAGCAGTTAGCTTGGCTTTAGCAGATGTCACCTCGGCTGTAGCAGATGTCAGCTCGACTCTAGCAGATGCCAGCTCGACTCTAGCAGATGTTAGCTCTACTCTGGCAGCAGTCATCTCGGCTCTGTCAGCAGTCAGATTGGCTCTTACAGCAGTCTTCTCCGGTCCAGCAGCAGTCAGCTCGGCCCGAGCAGATGTCAGTTCGGCTCTAGCAGCAGTCAGCTCAGCACTAGCAGCAGTCAGCTCAGCATTAGCAGCAATCATCTCGGCTCTAGCAGATGTCAGCTCGGCTTCAGCAAATGTTAGCTCGGCTCTCTTTTCCCATCAGTTTGTGTGGAATGCTGAACCAAATGTTGCTGTTTATCAAACCGAGATCTCAATTCTCAGACGCAACTATATATGTGTCACCAATCCCTGCCTCGTATGTTAACTTGCAATATCGATATTTTGTCGCTTTATCCATTGCAAAGGCCCCTCGGTATTGGCAGACTCCTCATTTTACGGTGCTTCTACCGAAGCAGCATCGTTCCTAACATAATTACTGGTTCATAGGCTTGGATCTATTCTGCTAGCCATGTCTGGTCTAATAATTACCATGACCGTCGTGAAGTTGCCCTCTCTGTGGTGCCGCTGGGTTTTCACCTAATTCATATAGTCACTGCATAGTGGGGCAGCTGTAATTGAATTGTGCTGCTCGCGAAGCTAACTCTTATCCGACGCCCACCGCGGATAATCGCAGTGGTAATGATAAGAACTCGTTCGTAATATGCTTACCGCCTACCGCCGGCAAATTAGGCTGCGGAATTTGGTGGCTGAAATTTTATTATATAATATGAGACTGACACAAACTCGTTATCCCCTCATCTGATGAAAAATCATAAGTTTTTGTTTGTGGAAGATTTTTAGTCTTGCTGGTTTTGAAAACTTCGTTTAAAGACTTCTAGAAAATATCGCTGAACCAAGTTGAATTCTTTGCAAATTTGAATCAGTTTCAGAGGTTAGTTAATATATATATATTGAACTTAATTTTCACCATTTCATGCACAACATGGCCTCACTTCACGTGAGGTGGCAAGCAATTTTTTAGGTCTCGGAAAAAACAAAAAATATCAAATGTAGAGGAATTCACACACCTGCTCATCGCGCGATTATATTCCTGAAATTTTGTGGTGACGAAAATATTATAGTGGGCGTGCTGTCTTCATGTGATCACTACTAAAGGATTCCCATAGCAAACAAGAGACTAGTCTTGATCAGCGATTAAGGATGTCATGGTAACATTAAGATGGTCTGCATGGGAACCTGAGTCTCATTTCATCAATACTCTTCACTTAATTGCAGTTACAAACTTCGTGTTTCATTGAAGTAAATAAGCCATCATGCGAGCGCTTTGAGTCCTTCTGCTCCAGCAGGGATTGGTCACATCGAGTAATTGTTATCAAAAACTTATGAGCTAATATTAATTATTTTGAAAATATAATTACTGTCCTCAAAATTGCGTTTTAATTAGGGCTGATTGTAGAATATGGATTTGATTCGGTTGGGATGATTTGATAACGAGATTCTCAAAGCACAATGATAATTATCTACCCCGAGCAGCGCCAGGATCATCTGCTAGTGTTAGTGAAAGGTAATGGCATGAGAGGCCATTATTATGAATGCTAAACAAGATCAACAAGTTAATTTTTATTTTTCATTATATATGCAATATCTGTGTTTTCTTCTCGCTTGCATCAACAACAGTGCGATCTTTAGACCTCATTTGTCGAAGGACGTTATAGTACAGCACCAACCCCTGGATATAGCAACAGAACGGTCTCAACAAGGTGTCCAGAAGTCTCGGTTAATTTCTCTCAGTGGTCAGATCTCCTCTAGACCGGTTGACCCAGAACCTTTGGATCCTCGCATGAACCATCCAACTAGTAGAGATGATGTCACCTGTAACTACTGTCATCGTGTTTGGCACGTGCGTCGTGATTGTCGTTCACGTCTAGGATTGTGCTTCGTTTGTGGAGGCAATGGACACGTTATCGGAAGTTGTCCTTATCGTCGAGAACAGCGTCAGTACAGAAGGCCAGCAACCGTCTCTAAAGCCCCTTTCACACAGGGCAGTAGATACTGCGGGCGTCAAAAATGCCGCGGCAGTATTTACAGCGCAATCTTTCACACGAGGCGCTTTTTACTGCTGGGTTCTATCAGTCTTGCAGTGCTTTATGCTTCATCAGTCCATCTCTATGTTTATGTAACAATATTTCTCTATGAAAATACTGTATATCTCTATGTGAGAATGATGTAAATACATCTCTATGGAAATACCTATATATTTTATGGAAAATATATCTTTTATAAAATATATCTATCACTTCAAGGAAATATATATTTAACAATGTATATCTTTATGTTTATGTAACAATATTTATGTACCGATATTTATGTTACAATATCAGTCTATAATCTATCAGTCTAGCAGTGCTGTTTATTATGCACCTAAAATACGGCCCCACTGTCTGCTGGGATCTGGCGTCAAAAACCGCCCAGTGTGAAAGATTACATTGAATACCATTGCAAGCTAAACTGCGCGACAAATCTACTGCCGCCGTTTTAGCAGGACAGACGCTGGCGTCAGGCGTCAAATTCTACGCCGCAGTAAAAGCAGTCGTGTGTGAACAGCATTCCACATTTCGTATGTCCGCTAAGGTTCGGCAGTAAATACTGTCGGACGCTGGCAGTATTTACTGCCCTGTGTGAAAGGGGCCTAAGGCATAAAAAGTATGCGGCAATACGTGGCACTCGGTAATTGAAGATACGCCTAGTAACTATGATTTGTCTGGAAATCATAATAACGAGCGCTGTAATGACAATAAGCGTGTAATTGAGATCTGCGAAGATCCATCCGATTCTAAAATTCCAGTATGTAATGCCGTGACTAATATTGATATGTATCCCTTAACTGTTGTAAAGTTATCAGATATGAGTGAGTAATGATATTGATAGAGCGACGGAAATAAATGTTTCTGCAGAGTTTGATGGTAATCCGACTGGTGATAGATGTCCAGTTGTCCCAGATATAAAGTGTATTTTAGATTTAAAAGAGAAGTTTTACGATTAAAGGCTAGGTTTTTACTTCACAAAACATCGTCAAATTCGTTCAGTGTTCCAACCCCTAGTGATAGTTTTTCTAGCCGTAAGGCTCTTGACTGGAGCTCTGATGAAATGGATGTAGAGGAAAATAATGACGGTCTGGTTCAACATAACTCAAAGCCTGTTCCTGAAGCCACTAGTTCTCCGCCTGAAGTGTCATTTCAAATATCGCTGATTCATGATAGTCAGGATTATCCATCTGGTAATGGAAATAATAGTTTCTTGGCGCTGCAATGGTCTTGTACACGTTCCGATGTAGTAGAAGCTACCAATTGTAACAGTTTGGATGCCGAAACGTCGGTAAACTGGAGTTTTGATAAAGAGACTGTGACTGAAATAATACCAGAGCACCGGGTGACCACACCAGTATACGATGAATAAGCCCAGGAACTGTCGGCGCGTGTTTCGTCAATTAACAGTAATGATAAGTCTGTTGTAAGGCTGAGGACTGTTTCGCAATCGCTTAATGATGGTTGGATTGACGATGTCTCCGACATAGTTGGAATGGGTAATTTGGCAGGCGATGATGTTCGAAATGATATTCTGACCACCATGCAGGAACATTTGTAGCACCTCAAGTCTGGTATTAGCAATTATAAGGCTGGCGTCACCTGTACGACTGACTCCTGGCGCCAGAGGTTTGAGGCTACCCGTGTAAATGTGACGCGAGAACAGGAAGAAACCTCTGACATTGTTCCTGAACGTGCCACTAGTGCAATAGCTAGTGAGAGGAGGTGTACAAGATCTCAGGCACCCGTAGATGAATACCCACGTGTGCAAACGAAAGTTCTTGAATATCGTCACAAGTAACTTTGGGCATGTTTAGTTTTGATTCTAAATTTGTAGCCTATAAAATTTTTACATGTACATTATTGATCACTGAATATTCTTTTAACCGGTATGATTTATTGTGATTAGTAGCGTTTAGTTGAATATAGTTTCGAAATGTTTATGTAAAGTGACAGATGCCCCATTTTGTAAAGTGAATTTTGTACTATAGATTTATGGATTTAATATTGTGTAATAAATAATTCTTGTATACCACATAATACTTTCAATGTATAGTCCGTAGGAATTAGAAAGATGTACGGTTTAAAGTTAGAGTTTATAGACGTGTATTGTTTGATGGAATATGGTGTTCAATTTGTAGTAGATGGGTTTTATTTTCGGAAACCTGTTTTCTGGGATTGTAAATACCTGTGAAAATATATTTCATATTTTGTAAATATCTAAGTTTAAGTTAGTTAAAAGTTAAGTTAAGTCAAGTTAAGTAAATATCTAATAGTATAAATTTTTTCATATCTCTTAGTAACAATTTTTCCATTTACATTTGGACTTTCAGTTCCGCAATTTAGGTTTTGCGTACTTTAGGGATTCATTCATTCATGTTTTAGACTTTAGCTGGAGTGGACTGTACGGCACAACGCAATTGTACATATCTATTTTACTGAATACAGTGTGAATACAAAGTGTTTATCTCGACTGAAACCCTTTCCTGACTTTGAGATAGTGAAAGAGGTAGTCCCCAGCAATATCCATGTTGTTTTCTGAGCTTATGCAGCTGCAGAATCACCAATTAGCAGCTTTACAATAACCAAAAAATGTGCTCACTCCGGAGATTATATGTCCACCAAAAGCTTCACGAATCTTTCTCTTCATGCTGGTTTATCTTGAGCAGTTTCTTACGGGCATTTGTCTCTATTTGACATCATAGCCCTTTTTGTGTTGCAGGTGTTGGGCCTTGGACTCGCCACGGCTTCGTATCCTGACAGCGTGAGTACAATAGCCGTAGCCATGTTTCCAGTTGCGTCGCCTTAATTATTATTTTGTGTCAGAATTCTTCATGAATAGCTAGGTAGTTATTGACTTTGTGCATGATGCATAAATGCTATTGATTTTAAACAACGTAATTTGGGGGAAAGGGCGACGCCACACTTCAAGGCTCAGACTACCAATGAGAAGTTAGGCAAACAAATTCAAGTTTCTTATGAAACACAATTTTCTCTGCAGATTCTAGAGGAAGGTAAACTATTGATTTGATGGGAGACTGATATCGACTTCCTCAAATATTAGTCTTGCTTATTGTACGATTGATGTATCATTCTGCTGGGTTTTTGCAAGTTTGATAAATCATTGAAATCCATGATTTTTCGTGACAATTTTACCTATTATCGTTGATAATAAAGATTTTGGTTACATTTGAACGAAGCATCCTCATTTTTTGATATATATGTAAAGACGTACTTAGTACCGAGTGATCCTTCTGAAATGTATGATTAGAACAAACTGATATCTTTATTATGAAAAACGTGCGTAATGAACTTCGAATCGGGTAATGAGCAACGCTTGCCGATTAGATCAAAGCCCAGTCTTACAGCTCCTGGGTCAGCTCGGCTACTTCACGTAAACTAGCACTGCATGAACTCAGACGACAAGCTGTTAGCAGCGAGGAACTCAATTAGCAATAAAACCCACCCACAGCGGGGCAGTAACTCGCGCACGTTCATCCGCAGGTCAACGTGGTTACAGGCCGCCCTGGTCCGCTGGGATGTGGAGCAAAGACTTCCACTTCTGTCCGCTTCCGGTCCTTGACGATGCCGGGCAGCAAATCGCTTGTGGTGAGCCGTGTACCTGTTTACACATGCAGCATTAGGAGCAATAGCAAGTGTAAACGAGCTCGGTGGTGGTGAGCCTTGTACCTGTTTACACATGCAGCATTAGGAGCAAGTGTAAACGAGCTCGGTGGTGGTGAGCCGTCTACCTGTTTACACATGCAGCGTTAGGAGCAAGTGTAAACGAGCTCGGTGGTGGTGAGCCTTGTACCTGTTTACACATGCAGCATTAGGAGCAAGTATAAACGAGCTCGGTGGTGGTGAGCCGTGTACCCGTATGCACATGCAGCATTAGGAGCAAGTGTAAACGAGCTCGGTGGTGGTGAGCCTTGCACCTGTTTACACATGCAGCATTAGGAGCAAGTGTAAACGAGCTCGGTGGTGGTGAGCCGTGTACCCGTATACACATGCAGCATTAGGAGCAAGTGTATGCGAGCTCGGTGATAGTAAGCCGTGTACTTGTATAGTGTTCACACTTGCAGCATTGGGAGCACGTGGAAATAAACTCGACAGCATGCCACCATAATAGTGTCAGTATGTCCTCATACTTTTATATATTGAATTTAAAAGAAGGGATTGCAATGTCTTGCACAGTAGATAAAAGTGTTTTTAATAGTTTGATGCTTTCTTGGCTGAAGTGGTGGAGGAATGCGTGATCCTGCAAGGGCCCCATTCAGTACATAGGGATTTGTATACGTCTCATCATTAAAAGACAAGTTTACGTCTCCAATTTTGCTGGAGTCTTTTGCTCAGCACGTTAGTGGATAGATAACATATGTAGCTGTGATGTTCATTTGCTTTCTTCTTGCAGACCTACCGACGCTTTTCAATCTCGACACTCAAGGTGACTGATGCCGTAAATGTGACTAAAAGGATGTCAGCAACAGATGTGGTGCAGTGCGCGAGGCTGGCCGCTATGGAAGGTGAATATTCTGCTTCTATTGTGGTCTTGAAGAATTGTTTAAAATTAAAATCCTTTTGCAACTTCGGCACTTCCGCGGAGGCCACATAGTTTGGTCTGAAGCAACAGAGTTGCAACGATTCATTCTTATTTATTCGTGAACAAATGTACAACATGTTATAGTGAACATTTGATAAATGATTATAAGCTTCAGGACCTTGGAAAGACGTAGCTGGACCTAATCCTTTGAACTGTAAGGAGTTCCGCCTGCTATTAAGGGCTTTTCAATGACCGCGGATGCTCACCATATGCAGTAACAGCTAACACTCGAGGGCATAAATTTCAAATTCCTATAGTAACTTACCGCTTTTTCAAAAAAATTGATAGCCGCGAATACATGTTGGTGAGAAATTAATTTTTTTCAGACATGGCTGGGTTTTCTTTCAATGGAACCTGCACAGCCTACAAATTTGGCAAGAAATTTTGCTCCTGTTCGACAGAAGAACCAGTCATTTACGTGACCGACTCCAGCATTTCCTACGGAACTCCCTCTAGTGTTCCTTTCAGTGAGACTCCATCAATTAATATTGGCCTGTGATATCACTGTGATATGAACAAATGAATCCGAAAACCTAAGTTGAATGTTATTGCGTGATGAATAGGTGTGTCCCTAGAACTTAACCGATTGACCTGTGATATTGCTGTCCTATAAATATGTGGGTCCCGATATGTAGATTGAATGACCTATGATATTAATGTGTGATGAAAGTTATACATCTCTAACCCAATGTTATGCATCTCTAAGCCTCCCTATACATCTCTAACCAAGCTCTCACACGAAACCCAACCCTCATACTATGCCCAACCCCCACATAAAGATCTTAAGACCTCATAGTCTCCCTATAAGGCATCAAGAATCAAGAGTTAATTTAGGGACAGCAGCACTAGGCATGCTTCAAGCAAAACCTTTGACGGCTACCAAGCTCCGGCCGCCAGCGATACCGAGAAATGAACTGAACTTTTTAATGCTCGGACCCTCGGCAAGCTCCACTCTTGTCGATGTCGCTATCACCGCGCAAACAGTTGCGCTATATAGTGGCACTAAACCCTAGAACACAACCTCTTGTACAACCTTCGCGCAATGCTTAATCCTCGTACGTAGCCTACCTTTCCAGTCAGACCTTCGCACAAAGCCCAACTTCCGCACAAAGCCAACTCCCTCATAAAGCCCAACTCTCGTACAAAGTCAACCCTCGCACAAAGCCCAACTCTCGCACAAAGTCCGACCCTCGCTTGTACAGGCAAACAGAAACTGTCAGATGGCTCTGTGGGTCAGTTTTGTGTACTGTGTTTTGCGCAAAGTGTATCGAGTGTGAGCGCAGTTACTTGTGTGTGCTTCCTTTAACATGTCTAAAAAAATGGTCTATATGTTTGTGGGAGGTTTGTTTATATAAACGAGCGTGTGGGTGCGTTTAATTGGGTCAGGACGTATCTCCGTTTAATGCACAAGTGAACGTAAGTGGCGCATGCTTTTGCAGGAATGCGCCTGCCTCCGTAAACGTTCTCACGTGTTAATGCAAATCAGTCTTTGTTGATAATTTTTACATTTTTACAAATGTCTTGACAGTTGGTGAATACGAGCATATGAGTCCTTATATTGTGCATCAGTCGCGCATCTTGCGGATGCGCATTTTGTATACAGTCGATCATCTTGTGGACGCGCATCGTGTGGACACGCATCATGTATATTGTATACAGTCGATCATCTTGCTAACGCGCATCGAGTATACATATAGCCGATCATTTTGCGGACACGCATCTTGTATACAGTCGATCATCTTGCGGACACGCATCTTGTATACAGTCGATCATCTTGCGGAAACGCATCTTGTATACAGTCGATCATCTTGTGGACGCGCATCTTGTATACAGTCGATCATCTTGCAGACACGCATCTTGTATACAGTCGAGCATCTTGTATACAATAGAGCATATTGTGGACGCGCATATTGTATACAAACGCGCATCTTGTATACAGTCGATCATCTTGCGGACACGCATCTTGTATACAGTCGATCATCTTGCAGACACGCATCTTGTATACAGTCGATCATCTTGTGGACGCGCATCTTGTATACAGTCGATCATCTTCTGGACGCGCATATTGTGTACAGTCGAGCATCTTGTATACAATAGAGCATATTGTGGACGCGCATATAGTATACAGTCGCGCATCTTGTATACAGTCGATCATCTTGCGGACATGCATATGGTATAAAGTCGATCATCTTGCGGACACGCATCTTGTATACAGTCGATGTTGTTGTTGTTCCTTGCGCCAAACGTCACGCTCGCGTGGGCGGAGGCTCCGGTGGTGGTCGGAGGGGTGGCACCGGAAGAGGGGGAAGATGGGCAAAAGCAGGGAGGGTGGCCAGGAACGCCGACGCCTCCATGGGGTTGTCCCACAAAGATGCGGCGCTGAGGGACGTGAGGAAGGCGGGGCAGGCAAAGAGGTGCTAGACGGATTGGAGGGATTCGCCGCATTCCGGGCAAGCGGCGCTAAGGGAGCGTCCGACCCTGTGGGTGTAGAGCGCAAGGAAGCTGCAGTATCCCGAGCTTAGTTGGGATAGCGCTGAGCGGTAAGGGCGAGGGAGCGAGGCCTCTTCTGCTGCAATCGGTGGTGGTGGGGTTGTGAAGACAGAGTTGTTAACGGCAGTCGCCGCCACACGGGTGGCTATCTCCCTGCGGAGGGAGCGTTTTGCCTCTCCATAGGCACCGTCTGGCAAAATGCCGTCAGCCAGGAAAGGCGCCACAAGGTGGTTGAACCTCGTCTTGATTGACGCTCTCATGGGGCGGTCTCCGGGGGGAGCGGAGACGATGTTAAAAGAAGTATGGGTAGGCTGGAGGGCGCTGGCGAGAAATTGAGCACAGGCCAGTTCCAGGTGCGTGGACAGGGGGAGGACGCCGGTCTCATGGTGGAGATGGGTAATTGGGGCCATCTTGAGGCAGCCGGTGGCTAGTCTCAGGGCTGAGTTTTGGATGATTTGGAGACTTGCAATTGCGGTGCATGAGGCGACTGGGTATCAAATGGGGGCAGCATAATTGAGGATTGGGCGAGTAATTGTCCTGTATGTGGCAAAGATATCTTCCTTGGAGAAGCCCCAGTTGGTGCCGGCCAGGGCTTTTAAGATGCGTAAAGAGCCTGTTGCTTTGGCGGCTATGGCTCTGACATGAGGAGAGAACGTAAAATGGGTATCCCAGGTGACCCCTAGGATTTTGGGGGTTTTGTCCAAGGGGATGATGCCATTGCAGATTGTTGCCGAGGGGTGTAGACGGGATTGGTGAGTGTCGGGGGTGAAGAGCGTGACTGAAGATTTCCCAGGAGCCACGGCCAGTTTCTTGGCGGTCGACCAGTCTGAGACGCCCCGGAGAAGCTCAGAGAGGTCAGCCTCCGCGGCGTCGAGCCTCGGGGACGACACAAAAATAGTGAGGTCGTCTGCATATGAGGCGATGTTAGGGGTCGGCACAGTATGTCCGAGATGAAGTAGTTGAATAGGGCTGGTGAGATGACCGACCCTTGGGGAACTCCAGAATGGATTGTTCTGAAAGGGGACCTTGTTCTCAGATAGAGGCAGGAAGCCATCCTGCCTCTAAGGTAACAGCACAGCCAGCGGACCAAATTATGATGTAGGTCTGAGGCCGCGATCATGCTAAGGAGGAGAGGGTGGTCGACACTATCGACAGCTTTCGATAGGTCGACCGCAGCTGCCACTGTACGTGTTGGGGGACAGCATGAATTGAAACCCGTCGCAATCTGGTGCGCGAGCGAGAGGAGGGCGGTGACTGTCGAGTGTCCCGGTTTAAAGCCACGTTGCAAAGAAACCGTGACGAGGGAATCAGAGATGTATGGGAGTAGAAGGCGTTCCAGGATCATGACCGCTGGACAAAGGAGGGAGATGGGGCGGTATGAGGATCCCTGGTTACCAGGTTTGCCTGGTTTTAGTAACGGGATAATTATTGAGTTTTTCCATATAGATGGAATGGAGGCCGTGGAGACAGAGATAATAAAGATGTAGGTGAGGAACTGGAGGCCACGTGGGCCAAGGTGTTTGAGGTGGAGGACCGTGAGTCCATCCGGACCCCGAGCGGAAGAATTTTTAGCGGCTCTGATGGCGAGTTTCACCATTTTGGGGGTAAAAGGGGCGAAGTCCCTGTCCAGGGGGTGCTCAGCCCAAATTCGACGCATAAGGCGGCGGGTGGATGGGTTTTGAGAGTGCGGAGCGATGGAGGTGAATAGTTTGCAGAAAACGGTAGAGATCTTGCGCTGCGACGAAAGGGGGTCTGACCAAATTGGATTGGCTGGTTGGGTGGAGGGCGGCTAAGCTTTTCGGATAGTGAGCGGAGAAGGTTCCAGTGTTTTGACTGGTGAGTTCACCTGTTGCACGAGGCGAGATGTGTTCGCCAGGTATTCCTGGCATGGGCTTGTGTTGAAGTGGAGATCTCTAGGTTGAGATCGGGGAGCCGTGGGTCGTTAGGGTTGGTTGTGTGCCTGATGTCATCCCGTTGCTCCATGAGCAACCAGGAGCCAGGGCTGACAGCGGGGGAATACTTCTTTCTAAAGCCTGCAGGGATGTGCTGCTTGGCAGCAGCCGCCAGGACGCCCCTGAGGATCGACTCACCTCCACACGAGGTGGGGGGAGGGACACGAGCGCTGCTTCAACTGCTGCCGTGAAGGCGGGCCAGTCCGCTTTCTTATAGTTAGTATATGAGCGGGCAGACCGGGGAGCTGGGGACTCCACGGCGGTGGGTAGATGAAGCAGGATGGGCAAATGTATACAGTCAATCATCTTGCAGACACGCATCTTGTATACAGTCGAGCATCTTGTGGACGCGCATCTTGTAACCAGTCGAGCATCTTGTGGACGCGCATCTTGTATACAGTCGAGCATCTTGTGGACGCGCATCTTGTAACCAGTCGAGCATCTTGTGGACGTGCATTTTGTGTACAGTCGAGCATCTTATGGACGCGCATCAACACGGTCGCGCATGGACCGGTGTCGCGTGAACGTCTGCTGTTTAAAGGTTCCTCGCTCGATCATAACTATTTTTTGCCATAAACCCATACTATATATTGCCATACAGCAGGCTCGATCATAACTATTTTTTCATAAATAATATCTACAACAAGGAGGCTGATCAAGGAATATCGAGTATATCATTCAATGGAGAATAAAATTACAACCCGTTTACATCTCGAAAAAAGTGTAAAAGTCGCAGACTTTATGAACAATAATATCCAAAGTTTCTTGAAATTTCTTATCATTACAACTCTTTTAATACATTGTTTACATATTTTTGTTCCTGGTAACCGTTTATAAATAAATAGCTGGGTAAACATAGAAAAATACATATCGCCATCTCATTTACGAGTAGAGTAAAGTTTAGCCTAATTTGTGAAGAAACTCATATGGGAAGAACCGAGCCTCTTTGTAGCCTCTCGGTTCTCAATCAGAGCCTTAAGCTGCTTTTGCTGCACCAACACCGTTGACATTTACTTCAGGAGTAAAATATCATGTTCTTAGAGACATTTTTGTGTCTGGTTGAGGGCAGCTTGATGTTGGTCAAGTGAGGCTTGACTTTGATCAATATACGTTTTCTGTTGGTCCAGAGCGGTAATGTGTTGCTCATGAGTATGTTGGAACTTTATGTTGGTCATGAGCGCCTTACTGTTGGTCAAGAGCTGCTTGTTGACGGTCTCGATCTAGCGGCTTGATGTTGGTCTCGAATGGCTTTATGGAGAAGGTATTATAATGGCAATATTGAGGAATGACGTGAAGAGAACAGTGATATTGAATTATTAGGAAGTTTTGGCAAGTACAGGACTAATTAGGATATTCTCGTGCACGTTCTGTACTGACGTAAATAATTATTGACAGAAGACGGGTGGAGGCTTCCACTTTCTGTACTTTCTTTAGTGACGCGAGTGAGGATTCATACACAAATCTATACAAATCTTACAACAATGAATAGTTTTAGACATGATACTCAAACCGGAAAGTGATTCAGTCATGGCGTATTTCATTAAACTGGAAATGTGATTGATTGATTAAAACAGGTTTGACAGACCTCATATGTCCAAGCCATCAGCTCTTCGATTCAGCACAGTGCGTGCGACTGTAGGATAAAAAATTGACAAATTCTGAGGCGATTATCTAGTGCGGCTTCTCTAGTGACGCGACAACTTGCGCGGCTAGAAGGCAAGCAGGACATTCGAAGATATGTAGGATGTTTTGTATTGTTGTGTACTGGCCTTGCTAACCGCATTTCTCGCTAGTAGCTTACCTTTATTTATGAAATATTTAAAAAAGCAAACTTCAACAGGCGCTGCTCCCTACGCCAACGTCACTGTTGAGAACACCGGATTGAAGCAGTACAAGCTCGTGAATTTCTTGATGAATGTCATTCGAAACACAATTGTACAGCCGACAGTCAGTAAGTTCTCAATAGTTCGTGATGCAATTGCCGTTTGATAAGTAGGACAAAATTCATCTAGCCTCTCCCTCACGACTCCAGCTAACCTTCTCTTTCGGAATGCAAGTCACTGTTGAGAAACCATTACTTTCTCATATTTGTCAACGTGATTCGTTACTCCACACTCGACACTCCTGTGATCCCGACGGCAGGGAAGTAAATCACACACTGGCTAAGTGAAATTACTGAATTGATTCTTTTCAAACGAATCTTAAGTTAAACCTTAAGTCCGCGTATAGTGGTGATGTCAGGCCTTGGGAAATTGAAGTCGAATTCGAATACTAAATTCGAATTTGAATATTAAATTTGAATTCGAATATTGAATTCGAATATGAATATTAAATTCGAATTCTGTTTCATATCTGTTTTTTTTCACATCATGTGTTCTCATTTATTCTTCATTCTTTCCATCTTAGTGTGAGACACCAGTTTTTTTAATTAAGCAGTCTTGCATCTATTTAAAACTTTAATCAGAGTTTCATAAATAATCTTTCTATTGAACGCTTCAACTACTCATAATAAAATAATTTTATACATTGTGAATCAAGTCACGAAAAGTACAATATTAAGAATCGGCAACAGACCATGGGCCTATTTCTTCAGTGCCGACACTTTTATTCTATTCTATTATGATTTTATTATGATCATCAATAACTCAACGTACTCTACACTAATAAGTAATGATCGAACATTTTTTTCCCGTATTATCATTTGTGAACATAAATACATATCTAGCGCGTTGAGTCCGATTGCTTCATCTTTTACCATTATTTCATTTTATGTACTTATTTTGAACAGGGTTGCTAGACAGTCTTTTTTGCGGACAAATTCTGCGGTTTAGTTTTATTCAATTGCGTTGGCCGGCTAAAATTAATTATATGGGTACTTTCTAATAAAATTTTAAAACCTTTAAAAAAGAAATAAAATTTTTACACTGGAACCTACAAATATACTAGTATATATTGAGTTATAGATTTTTTAGGCCTTTTTTGTTCGCCGACATTGACGTCTTTTAGGCCATTTGGCAACCCAGAATTGTATGTACCTCTACGTCCGGGAGAAATACAATCCGTGGTATGTATATGTACAACTTCGGAGTTAACGTGTTAAAAAAGAAAAAAAGACACTCGGAGCATAATTGAAGTAAAAAATATTAGTGCGCAACACTATTTTCACCATCAGTGAAATCCTTGATGATCCCTACTGTGATGAGCCCTTGATCACTATTTTGATGCGCCCTCTATCTCATGATGCGCCCTCTATCTTATGATGCGCCCTCTATCTTTTGATGCGCCCTCTATCTTATGATGCGCCCTCTATCTTATGATGCGCCCTCTATCTTATGATGCGCCTCCTATCTTCTGATGCGCCCTCTATCTTATGATGCGCCCTCTATCTTATGATGCGCCCTCTATCTTATGATGCGCCCTCTATCTTATGATGCGCCCTCTATCTTATGATGCGCCCTCTATCTTATGATGCGCCCTCTATCTTATGATGCGCCCTCTATCTTATGATGCGCCC